AAAACAATGCTACAGTCAGTTATTCTCCTTTGAAAATGTGCGTTCCGGGCCGGAATGTCGGTCTCTGTTTTGGTTTGTGAAACCCGCCCACTGCCAGTTTATCCAATTGTAATTCGGCACCCCGGGTTGCCAGTTGGCGGGAAACACAGCGCATTTAATTTCAGTCATGGAAGCTGGCAAACGAAAAGGGTCAGAGCGGGAAATAGAACTTTCAATAGAACACAAGGCTACTACTATTTAGACATGAATGTGAAACTATTCATTTTCTTCAGCAATGTGTTGTCATCGGGGCAAGGAAAAAAGTAAAAAATACTAACTCCAGAGTGTGGATTTGCAGAGTAGTGAGCTTATGTTTTCGGCATAACGGGCTTAAAGTCTCGTTTGAGAAAATTAACCATTAGATTTCAAAGTAAGAAATAAATTATAGTATTTTACACCTCACAATGAATAACAGTCTACTTGATTACGTTTACAACTGGGTTTACGTTTACATAATTTATGCGGCCGACAAATGCGACCTCCGGAGGACGCAGCAGCAGCCTCCGAAATGAGACGCAGATTCAGATTTATAAAAATGCACATGAGGTGGTTTATAATTTGCAAACAATAGAAATATTGCAAACGTACACATTAGCTGATCAATTTACAGTGTAAGGCTCAATGTTTTCCATCGTCAGGTGCGCTCGTTCCTGTTGGTGTCGTCAATCTGGCAACCTGCATTGGCGTCAAGTCAGAGGAGGAGGGACCGGGTGAAAAAAACCTAGTAATACCTAGTTCAACCACTCGGTGTCAGTCCTACATACAGCACCTTTAAGTATGCAATCAATATCCCAAAAGGCGTACTTTGTACTATTATATAGGACTATCAATATCTAGAAGTGGTTGTGCGAGAAGGATAATGTAGACCGAGTGCATCTCAGTGGCCACAGGGTGATTGTTTGAATGCCAAGGCCAAAGTAGAATAACAACCTGCAAGCGAACTGAATTTGCCCGACAACTGAATCCTCTCTTTTGACAATTATGTTGAAAGATACATCATGTCGCCAGAAGAAGTGATGACTAACAGATGAGAATATTGTGCAGTGAAGCATGCTTACATTGAAGGCAGAGTAAAAAAAAATTTTTGCATTGTGCATTATGAGTTATGATATAACAGGGGAACTTAAAATCCCTCAGCATTTAATACTTAAAGAGCTGAATCTTGTTTGATCATTATACACACATCTTACAAAAAAATGAAAAAGATGTCAGCTTCACACCACAGCCTACTTCTCTAAGGGACCCCAGGACCCCATCTGCTGCTTTGCGTATCTCACACAGATACAGTTTCTCAGCAAACAAGTACTGGAGATATGACAGACTGAAGGGAGAAGCTCACAGAAATGCAAGTAATTTGGCTTTGGGCGAGGTGGCTGAGCTTCTTGTGTCGATGTCATGACAATGTTTTGTCGACACCTTACCAGTACACCCAGTGTCCACCAACCCAGACTTCTCCCTCCCAGGCCTGAGGGAAATGTACCTTATTCAGTTCCTCTATTCGCCTGATCAGATAAGGGTTGCTTGAAGAATTCTCAAAGAAGACATAATCTGCAAAAGAAGACAGAAACACTGGATTATTTTGTAATCAGTATAAAAACCTAGAGTGGTTTACATGTTAGGGCTTGGCTGAAAGTTAAATGACTTAGGAGATTCACATTACATAAAAAAGTGCAACTCATTATTATTGGTATATTAAAAATGGTATGTTACATATACTAAATATGCAATCTAGCACCACAACACATTTCCTAAACATGGAAATTTTGCCAAATACAAGAACCTTTCATGATGTGAAACTTGGTGTAGATAGAGTTCAAGACAATACAGCCTAGTGGGGCCAGATTTAACTGATTACCATAATTCATTCTTTTACTATATGGGAAAATGAAAATATCCATAATGACCGCAGGGCATTTAAGATAAGAAAACCCTCACCAAAAAGTATTTTTAAGTGAATGGTCTCTCCCTCACAGACTGATATAATGGGTAATGAATAAAGTATTCATAAAGTGCAAGGTATTAAAGATAAAACTACCTTTTGAATCAAGTAATACCTCCCATAGTTATCTTTAGATAATGAAAGAAATTCCGAGAAATAGTACATTTTATAACGCACTACCTGTTCTGGTTTATAAAAATACCCTACAACATACAGTTACTATGAGTCTAAGACTTTTGACTTGGCCTTGACTGAGTCTAGGTAATGAATTGTTTATGTTTGGTATACATATAGAAAACACTTTCTCTCAAAGGCAAGATCAGTGAAGAATATGCAATTGCATGCTTGTAAACAAACACTTCATTCATGCAAGCAACCGTATTCTGCTATTTGAGTCACATTCCGATACATGTATCTACGGCATAACCGAGCACACACGGGTCACATTAGAACCGTGCAATGTAATAATTTGTCACATAGACGCTCCATTAAAACGCCAGTGAATTCACTGAAAGTCTGCTGAAGCTACAAATTCATTTTCAATGGCACTGCATTAACGGCGCCATGAAACAATGTCAAATTCCGCAGCGTGTAGCCGGCTAATTGCACAAACAAACGACGCGACGGTTTTATGTTAAAGAAGTGTTTATGATTAGACGCATGACAACAAATACCCCTCAAAATAGTGCACATTCACAATGTTTCAGCGAATCAGTGTGCAGAAGTTCAATTTGGTTTCTCTGTGGAAAACCGAGTGAGGCGTTGCTGTTAAATGCTAGCTCGCTTTGCTACCTTGCATGCCGAATGAGGACCCGTAACTAATGGATACGTGCCAAAAAATGAGACAAATGATCACAAAGAAAAACATCGGCGTCAAACATCGGCATGGCCAGGTCGCAAGCACAACTCGCTTTTCTCCTGTATGATCAAAGCCAAAAGAAACGTGCTCTATAAGCGTGTTTCCGTGTGTTTTACATATAGTAATTATTATTTGTTTATGATGTGGCTAGCTAGCAACATAGCCCGCTTGCTAATATGCTAGTGCGGCTATGATAGTTTAAGAGGCCTGACCCACATCAGAACCCAAAGTATTCTGCATCCACATTATCGCTTTCTTTTGCAAGGACACTGCACGTGTTAAGAGTTTAAAAGTGAGCGGCCGGTTGCGGCGATTCCGTTGAAACGAACCCCTGCTTCACAGACAGGTCTTGCGGTGGTGTCTGTGTTTTGACTTGCGTTAATTCAGAATATAGACGGACATACCTCCGACCCGGTACATGTTGGCCGCCATTTCTGCCCTCCCGGAGTGTTAAAAAAAAAAAAAACATAAACTAAAATAAAAACAAAATAAATATGTGAATCAAAAAGACATCTAAATCCTGTGACCTTTTAAAAAGCACTCTGGTTTAAGATGTTTTAAATATGGGGGGTGGATCTCTGTAAGAATAGGAGATTTTTTTTCAGCCCCCCTCCCGAGATTCACAGTACAATACAGTAACTCACTCACGCGCTAGAAAAGGCTCGAGCGCAGCGGCTTCCTGATGATGAGAGAAGGAAGAGAGAAGGGGGGGTGAATGAAGTCTACAGACTGCAGCCTCAACTTGACACTCATGACTGTTTTGTTAATTTGTTAATGTGTGTCATTTTTTTTAAGTAATATTTAAAATAAACATAGTTTAGCCTACATAATAATATTCGCCAATGTAATTTTTTTTACTATGACAATAAATATATTTAAAAGCGTTTAACTCTGGGAATCATAGCTATTCTTGATACTTTTAAAATATATTTAAGATAATAAGGTAAAAGACAAATGTAAGATAATTTCAGTAACGAATCAGTGCGTGAGTGAGCTATTCGAATCATTAAGACTGAATTGATTCACGAACCGATTCAGACCTGGTTGGAATGATTCGGATCAAACGAGTGATTAATTCACTCTTTTCGCACTCTAATTCATTAATTTAAAAAAAGAAATGTATATTAAACTTGGTTAATGTACATTGCTTTAAAAAAGTAATATTTAAAATAATACACATAGCCTAAAATACCTGTAAATATTTTTAACATGATAAATAAATAAACGCATTTAAAGGTGTTTAATGCTGGGAGATTCATGGATATTCCCGATACAACATTTGAAAAAAAAAAAATTGAATAAGATGAAATACAAATAAAATCAGTAATAATTCAAATCAGATTGAGCTGTTCGAATCATTCAGACTGAATCACGAACCGATTCAGAACCTGTTGACATAATTCGGATCAAAATAGTTATAAATCACGCCAGTTAACTGAAAACACGAGATGACTTTATTGCTGAACATTACACCGAGAAAATCATAAAAGGCAATAAAATAGTTTAGCTATGCTATATGGTTTTATAAAAGCGCTAACGTTACATCCAAGAATGTAAACCAGACTAATCGCTAGAACAACACTACTAGCAGGGATCACTGTCTAATTTTAGTTTAGGGTGTGGGTAGACAACCATAGGAAAAACCGTCCAATATTGATTTTATATTGAACATTTAATTCAGTCCAACGTGACGTCCTCCTGGTCTACTCCATTGCTAAAAAAAAAAATAAAATAAAATAAAATTAAAAAAAAATAAAAATATATAAAGTCCAGCAAATTCACTTGTTAATCCCAGACATGCGTCGTGGAAAAACTCGTTTTGCGTTTGGGAACGCCCGTTCTTCTGGAGCGCACAATCGAGCGCAATAGGCTTGTCGATCTGTGACATCACTGTATGAAACAGCCCACTGAAGGCTGGAGTTTAGATGATGCACAAAGCAAGAAGTCACTTTTCCACGGTTCTCAAAACTGGCACGCGCTCATTCTGGAAAAATCCTTTTAGAATCTAAAAGAGCTACTGAGTTGGACTCGCGACTTTGGAGCTGTTTGTTTTTTCTCGCGCTTACAGAAACATACTGGATTTTAACTATGACAATCATTAAGCCATATTGTGCGTCGTTTGTTTCTTTTTCACTCGAATCGGTGATGCAAACCTGATCCAAAATGAAGTTTGGGAAGAATATATGCATCCTAAACGTTGGTGGCACCAAGTATGCTTTCACTAGAGAAGTTATAAAGGATTTTCCCCTTCGAAGAGTGAGCAGACTCCACAGCTGTTCCTCTGAAAAAGAGGTCTTGGAGGTTTGTGATGATTATGACCGAGAGAGGAACGAGTTTTTCTTCGACAGGCACTCTGAGGCGTTTGTCTTTATTATGCTTTACGTGCGATCTGGAAAGCTCAGGTTTGTCCCGCAGATGTGCGAGCTTTCCTTTTACAACGAAATGATCTACTGGGGCTTGGAGAGCTCACATTTGGAGTTTTGTTGCCAGCGGCGATTAGAGGATAGGATGTCCGACACTTACACGTACTTTTCAGAGGAGGACATCAAGGCAGAGGTGGAGTCCAGAGGTGAGGAGGATCAGGTCACCCGGTTCGCCTCTGAAAGAGGGAACGCGCGGTGGCTGGAGAGGATGCGGAGGACTTTTGAGGAACCAGCTTCCTCTGTTGCTGCGCAGATCCTGGCATCCGTGTCAGTGGTTTTTGTCATTATGTCTATGGTCATCCTCTGCGCGAGCACTCTGCCGGACTGGGATACAGCAAAAAACAATACAGTGGAAGAACACAGGTACATGCACGAGTTCAACTGCTGTGGTCTGTGGTGTAAATTCAAAATTAGCTGCATCTCTCACAGGACAGCTCATCTTTATGAGCATGCCTACCCAGCATAGCTCCATATATAATAAAAGGAATCATGCTCTTCTCCACATACAGGATCTCAGAATGAAAAGGCCTATGTTGTGATGGTACAGGTTTGTCCCCCTGAACTCGTCTGTAGCCTATGTATGATTCTTTCCATGTTTTGTATCCGGTTGCATTGCGAGCTCCATTCAAACTATCTTTTCTCAAAAAAAAAAAAAAAAAAACTGAAATTAAAGTTCAACTGATATCTAAATGAGTGTATTGCACTGCATAATATAATATAGCCGAATATAATATTAAAAATACAGCTATCTCTCATTACCAAATATTATTTTTGTTGATTATTTGCTTTTTAAAACGTATTACAGTAAAAACAGTATTAGCACTGGGAAAAAATAATGCAATAATGATAATGCAAGCTGAAGCCTGCAAAATATCACGATGGTGATTTTTGTTTTCTAGCTGACGTACTTCGTTTGGCCAGTAAAAATGATCTAACGTCAGCATGAGTAGGGGGACCCGGGAGTGCTGTAACACATTTCGTTTCAGCGTCTGTAACTAAGAGTTTTTTGCGCAGTGTGGCTTTGATGTAATATTCTTATGTTTTTCTGCTACACATTAAAGTAGATATAGAAGTCTACTACATATCCTCAGCTGTGCAAATTAATATTAGAGAGTGCTGACGTATGGGATCAGATTCCCGCCAAATGTATTGCAGTCATGCATAAAAAAATAACAAGCGTGAAACCAAAATTGAAAAAACGCAAGTAAAATTATATTGCACAAAATAAAATAAAAAAACGAAAGCAAAGTTTTCAGAATAGCAAACAATGGTCACGGATCAAAAAATAATAAGTGTCAATCAAAAATTTAATAACACATTAAAAAAAATAATAAGCACGAATCAAAACTTTAAACACATTTAAAATCATATTGCACAAAACTGAAATATTAATGCAAAATTATCCGAATTGCACACAAAATCATGTTTCCTTAGTTATATTTCTCAGTTTTTTGTGCTCAGACATTTTCTGCACATATTTTTATTTTTTGTATGCTTATGCTGTTTTTCCCTTCGCTCTTTATTCCACGTTCTGCGCTTCTTCTTCCAAATGTTGTGGTTAGAGTTTCATGTAAATCAGGGTGGGCTAAAGAATCATCATTGTTCCACTAGTTCTAGATTGACAGCTCCTCCTCTAGCCAATCAGTCGAAGAGGGGCGGTGACGTCACTCCAATGCTCCTCATTACTGCCGATGCTCAGTGTTCTGTTTACTTGTACAGGTGAAAATGGACAACTGTCAGCTGGGAAACATCTTTCCATACAGGACACCGTTATATGTGTCTTGTCTGTCACTGCTGTACGCCTACCTGGCGATCCGTTTACGTTAAATGAGTAAATCGGTAAATTAATTTTGAATTAATGTAATGTTTTTGCTTTGAAAATGATAGTGCTACAGAGTAGACAGTTGAGGACAAGTGGATTTGATATACACAATGATTTATTTGCATATTGTGTTTATTTACATAGCTACATATATAATTGCCTAACACTATCATATTAATGTTTCAATATATATAAAGTTTGAACATAACAACAATATGAAAGTAAAACAGCCAGTAGGTTTGCGGTAAGTTACTGTCTTTAGAATAAGACATTAAATCATTCATTCGAATGGCTGATTGATTCAGTGAAGAATAAAGCGAATCATTCAATATGAAAGGCTGCTGTGTTGCTTGTAGAGGACACTGTTTTGCTGTGGCTTTGTTTGGACTCTTCAGTCGAAATAGAGCAAAATTAGAAAATAGTTACTATTAATAGTAAATCTGGGCTCACATACCTCTCATTTCCATGAGTGAATCGTTAGACGCGATGTAACATTTGGTTGATAAACTATTAGCCTATTTATTTTGTAAAGAATGTTTTGTACTTCTCTCGTATCTAAATATCTACTTAAAAAACATCCTTCACATATGCAAAAAATTTGTTTGGAAAACACCATGGCATGGCGATGCTCGCACTGACCGGCAAAACCTACATACAGTATTGTACAAAAGACAAGCTAAATTGAGTCACCAATACCTTTTGTATGTTTAGTTGTCTCATTTACTTTGATGATGAAGAGGCTGTGATGTAAAGTTTGCAGTGCTAGTACTGATTATGTTGTGTGCGTGCAGGAGGCGCCGGCGCGAACACTTGGGTTACTCACATCAGCGGAAAGATGTGATATCCGTCAGATAGGAGCTAGACATCATTCAAAACTATCTATTTTTTTATCTGTGTACCTTCAAAATAACAGTGAAACGTTGTACTTTTGTAAAATAAAGAAAACATACAAAATGCACTTGCCGTCTCTGTGAACCTCTTCCTGAAATGAAGAAAAACTCAGCGATAGGCCTACTGTCTAACACTATACTTGTCACACAGAATGAGAAATATATTTATAGAAACCTTGAAGTGCCCGCTTTTACCTGTTTACGTTTTGCTTATTTGACATTAAATGCATTATATAAGTCACTTTGGAATATAAATCATAGCAC